ATTTTTTAAGAATTTTTGGTTATGTAAATTATTGATATATGGATCATTTTTTAATAATTTTCAAGTTAAAAAAATCTAAGAAAAAAATGATCTCTAAAATTTGACTCTCATTCAAATATTGTTCTAGCAATTACAAAAACCTGAAAAAATTTAGAGAATCCAGAATTGTAATAAACTATTTGTCCTAATATTTTCAAAACAATTGATTTAAATTTGGATTTTTAAAGGATGGATTGATGATTTATGACTGCTACTGTATATTTATACAAATTAAAACTTATAACTATAATATTTTGATATCATTTTAATATTAGTTCAATATTTAATTTTATTATAAATTTATATAAGTATATCATAACTTATATATTAAAATTATTATAAATCAATATCAATTCAATATTACCTTAATATTAGTTTGATACTTTTTAAAGTTTTAATACAATATAAGAAAAGATAAAGATTTGGTATAATTTTTCTATTTTATATTTTTGTTTAATTAATTTAATAACTGTGATTATCTTTTTATGAATTTTATTTAATAAGTTTCATTTTTATAATTTAATATGTTAAAATTTAATATATTTTAACAAAATTTATTAAATTTAACAATTTATAATATATTTAAAAAATATTTTTATAAAATAATTATTATATTATTTAAGATAAATAGGGGTATTTTGACGAAGTTAAAGTTACTAATAAAAAAACTTTTTATTTTCCAAGTAAAAAAAATTTATGTTTATATTGTCTAAATCAATACTCGATTTGGAACAAATCCAATAAAGAAATAGTAATATAACAAACCATTTTGGAATGACAATGATGATAATTGTAAATGATATATAAAATTTAGATTTTAAGGATGGAAGGGTATTTTGACGAATTTGCTTTTTTTTAATTTTTTTAATTTTTTAGTGTTCACTCTTCCTTTTCTCGTTTTTTTCATTCCCGTTCTTCCTTTTTTTGTGCTAAAGTTAGTTCTCATGCGACTTTTTTTTGGGCTGCCAGTTCTTTTTTCCGATTCTTTTCTGCGATTTTTCTTTCTGTTTCCTCACTTATTATTTTTAATTGTTGTAAACTTTCTTCATTAGTAAGAAGTCACGCAAATGGAAGTGTCTTTCTTCTTTTAGGAGCAAGGGTCTCAGATTTGGCTTGATTTTCCAAAGAATCCTCCAGAATTTCAAATTGTGGAACATAAGGGATCATATACTTAAGAACCGAATGCAAAGAGCTTGTTCCAGGATTTTTGTAAGTTTCTAACATATCTAACTTCTCTTTTATTGTTGTAAGCTGGAATTTCAATAATTCATTTTTATTTTTTAGTAATCTGTTTTCTTTTTTTAACTTGGTAATACTTGAACAGGTGGAATAAAAATGATTCGGCTTATTAGATAATTGTAAAGGTAACTCAACCGATTGTATAGAGAATTGTCTATACAAAGGTATATCGAATCGTTCTGTTACTAAAGATGGGTTTAAGCGATCTGGATTAATTGCATCAAGATTGAATGGCCATATTCCTGTGGCTCTGTAAGCATTACAAATAGCTGACGGTGTATAAGTCTCGATGAAGGCAGGTCCAAAAACTTCTGCAAAGATATGTTTGATTACTAGTTTTCTAGTATT